TGCCCAGGCACCTTCCACCTCGTCGATATATAGCCTTGTTTCCCAAGCAGTGTGTGAACTGCATCTTGGTCGTACCGAAGAGTCCCAGGCTGCTCTGGAAGAAGCCTTGAAGAAGGACCCCACCTACGCCGAAGCCATTGCGAACCTACTTGTCCTCAAGGCAGTAACCGGCCAAGACACCTCAGAACTGACTCAGTATGTGATTAGTAAAATGAACAGATATCTAGGGTTATACTAACATAATTATAGAACATTGGTGAAGGCCGCCCCCAAGCACGATTTCTTGACGGCTCTGGAGGAAAAGAGTGACCTATTTGACAAGGCGGCGGCAAAGTACAAGGCAAAAGTTTCTGCGTAATTAGACTGGTAGGCATGCATGAATGAAGACTGTGATTTTGGCGCCAATACAGTAAGAACTTGGTTTAATTCATCTGCTGTCTGGCAAATTTGAGCGTGATTGATCTCTTCCTAGAGCTTTGCAATACATGAGCCAGGTCTTATGTTACCAGAGCAATCAAACCCCCCTTTCAAATTCTTCCTCTGCGTTTCCAAGCCCCCTGCTGCGGTTGAGTTCAAAGCTTATTTTGATCATAGCTAGTCGTACTCTTCATCTTCGAACGCTGGTTTCGTCGTCGTTGTCCTCCGTACCGAAAAACTCATCGATTTCCATCATCTTCTCCTCTACCGAGAGGAACCGTACCCGTCCAGGGGGGGTGAAATAACCCCGAACATCAACGTTTGGTGCGGAGTTTGCTTTGCGGTGCGGCGAGAGGGACGAGGCGGCCTTGTATTGAAGATGAGGGTTAGCCATGCATTCCCTAGTTCGTCGGTGCGAACTTTGGGTTTACTTCTCTGTTGTTGCGGCGATCTTTCTTGTCACCGCGCTTCTTGCTCGGAGCCTCGGGCTCATCTGATTCGGAATCGGATGGCGCCAGGTAATTTCGAACATGGTCCCAAAAGGCCTTGACCTCTTCGGGATCTCTCTTGTTGGTGTTGCTATCCTGAGGTTGTTTATCCTCAGTATTGGCTTGGATTCCCCCGGTGCCGTTGTGATCAGCCTTCTTTGGGGTGGTGGCTTCGGCTCGCTTGAGTTGCGGTTGAGCTTCCTGGCTCGGCTTCTCTGGGCTTCCTCTCAATATCTTCTGTAATTCTTCGGGCAACGGTGTTTGGCCTCCGCTGATTTGAAAATCGACACGGGTCTTGGAAGAGTCCGAGCTGGTCTCTTGTTCGTCAAGACAACGATAAAGCGGCTTGTCACGGGCAAAATACTGCTGATACTTGAGGAATGTTAAAGAATACCCTTCAACGCCAGGCGCTGCTTGTGGGACATTCGGAGGCTTCTGGTACGAGGAATCCGGTGATGGTGACGACACGGGACTGACTGGCTGCTTGCTTTTGGGTGAGGTGCTGCCGGCAGATACGTTGGACATGGACGACATGGTCGAGATGTCATCAGAAGACTCTAGCTTGGCAACGAGCGCCTTCACAAAACCATTAGCCCCGGCCTTGGCCTTTGGCTCTCGGCATGTCTGTGCGGACGACGTTCGCTGTCCAAGATTTGATGAGAAGCTGCCTGTGAGTCCTTTGTGTTCTCTTCCCCGGTTGATGATGGCTTCATCCTTGCTTCTCTGGCTCTTGGAAGGCGTTGGGAGGCCTAAGTGAGATGGGTCAGCCATTGTTGTTAGCTTCCCAGGCCTGTGGCGTCGTCATCGTTGTAGTGGGAAGAGAAAGAAGAGAAGTTCAGAATGTTTAACCTTTCGTGGGAATATACTGGCACTGGCCCCTTTGGATCAAACTGTTATCACTTCCGGGGTCAGAAGTGAGCAGCAGGTGAGCAGCAGGGTGAGAAGCAGGGTGAGTGTTGAATGATAAGTTACTCGGAAGTACATGTCCTTTAGCACTTTCACCAACTCCAAATCTAGGTACTTCATCGAGGGAGAACAGATGACAAAGCTATTGATTATGGTTTGGGACCATGGCAGACAAAGGCGCTGTCTCAAAGAAGCAGAAGACCCTTTCACATTACTACTCATATGGTACTGTTCATAGTCTGGGCCAAACAAAGAGAAACACCAGTTCCTTAGCTGTTGTTATTCCAGTACTAGAGCGCCACCAAACATTAGTACTTACCTATTCAAAGGCACAGAATAAACAAGGCAGGAATAAGGTTTAGGCACGCACCCGTCATCAGTGGCTTTTCCTGTTTGTCACTCCGTAAAAGGAAGACCGCCATTGACTTTACCAGCAATCGCTGTTTGAGGATTATGGTGGTGAACTTTTACCAAGACGTTACGTAGAAAAAAAAATCGGGGGCCCATATCATCACGATTGTTTGGAATGGTAGTTTATAGCCAAGTGAAAACCGTCACTGCTTATCTTTTTTTTTGGAGGTTATCATTGTGAATTCATCTATACATTCGCTTATCCCAGCCAAAGACGTATCCTGACCATAATCATAAAATTCGTCTCGTCCGTGTGTCCCAGGTTCCTCGTTTCAGGCACCAGAACGCCCCTGCAATCCAATAATCCCAGGGTGCCCTCTATTGTGTTGTTACCCTTCGCTCTAAATTGACAGTTTATTTCTTCTTGTTGGGGAACTTGGGAGCTCCAATGTCAGCGCCTCGGAGCTTGACATTGAGGACTCGCTCCATGTTTGCCAGGACCTTCTGGTCTGGCGCGGCGGTGCCCCTCTCGAACTCGCTGACGATGGTCTGGGTGGTGTTGCACTTGGTGGCGAGATCCTTCTGGGTCATCTTGGGCTCCATCTTCTGACGGGTCTGAGAGATGGCATCGCCAACGATCTTGCCTACGGTGTTGGGCTTGATGATGTCGTCGGATCGGTCGACCTTGGTCAGACGCTGGCCCTCGCCGCTGCCGGAAGCCTGTATCAATCACAATTAGCCCGCCTGTCCTTGCAAAAGGGTTACACTTGACCCGGTCGGGTCTGGCAAACGAATTGCCAGCTCGGGGAGAAGGGAACAACATACTGCGTTGGCTGTGCCGTACTTCTTCTCGGTGGAAATGATGCCACCCGTTCGCTGGGCTGCGTTCAGAGCGGCATTTCCACGAATGACAGTCTCACGCTGGGAAGCACCAGATCCACGGGTCTTGCTTCCAATCTTGGTGACGTCGTCCCAGTCAGACATTTTGGCGGCTTGTTCGATGAAATTGAGTTTCTCGGAGGTTACTGCAAATATGTTCGACGTTGTCGAGATAGAGCTGAGGATGCAGAGATGGATGCAGAGATGGATGGAGTTGGGTGTCTTCGTCGATCGCGTGTGTTGGGTTGTGGGGGCAAGGCATCCAGCTATATACGGCTGCCGCTCGACCCCACCACCGTCATTTTGGGGCGATGCTGGTTGACTCAACCGGCGGGGGACCCGCGCTGGGGCGGTGCGCGGCCAATCCGAAGGCGGCCGTGGAAGGTGCTAGATTTTTGAGGAAGAAAGCTGAGATCCGGGTCACGTGAGCACGTTGGTGCGGGAGAGGCTTTTCAGGAGCTCATTTGGATATCAACATCGAGAGAGAGAGAAATGGTCACTAATTGTAGCAGAATACTTATAAATTAATAATTTGAGGTAGCACTAGAGCTGCATTAATATCTATGAGCAGAGAGAAAATGCACGGGAATATATGCTAGATCTCTTGGAAGGGCAACCCTTGTCGGCCTAAAACAGAAGGGGCATGGATACACAAGGCAATGCTTAACTGCCACCTATCGATTTCAATGTCACCCAGTTGGCAACCCACCACAGCCACCCCCTACCCGGTAGTTACCAGATCTCCGCATTCATCGGTATGACTATTCGATTCTCTGCTAGTAATTGTCGAAGTGGCTCCTCATCTTATACATTCTTTTCCCCTGTGAGATATTTTATGATTGTTTCGGTGTGGCGGCGGGTATGGCACCTTGGAGAACTTCCAGCACACACAGATGCCTTAGGTGGCTTATTGCCTGAACTTTTGAAACTGCCATATCAAGTAGGTAACACCTTGTGGTTGCATCACCACCTTCCAACAGCGTGATTGCAAGATTTTCCTTCCAATTACTTCATTGCCAGTGACGAATAATTCCCTTCCATTTCTTATGATTGACTCTGCATTGCCTTCTTGGGTGTTTATAGCGGGGGTCATTCTGCTCAATTGTCCTCCGTAATTGCCCCGCAGTCCGGTTCTCACAAATGCCTACAAGAGGTGAATAGAACGCATCTGAAAAGATAACAAACTTCAGGGCTCCTTGATAATTGTTAGTCAAGGCGCCATAGATAGGCAAGGCGTTTGAATAACGTGCCACAACTACGGGAGACACAACATGCAAAAACTGCTTTTCACCATCCACGAGATGTGCCCTCGTGAGAACGGATAATACCATTGGGCCGTGTGAATTTGGGTACAAGTTTAATTGAAAGGATAATTAGCTAGTTCATTGAGCTGAAGTGTTCACTCGATAGATCAATGTCATACAGCAAAGCTGATTACCTCGTGGCTGACCAACTTGTTAGTCAACATGAAAAACACCAAGATATCTCTCGAAGTGAAAATGTTGGGGGTCGCTGGATGTCTGGAATAGGACAAACGAGGGGCAAGTCTCTGAAAGTAGGTATTTGCCCGTGTTATCTCGAGCCATAATTTCATGCCGATGCAACTACTGGGATCGCCAGACGAATCAGCGCCATGGTCACAGCCCGAGGTATGCGGCCTTGGAACCGCCTACCCGTTGTGCCCCCGCGTCCACTCACCACACCAAGACACACACATCATCGATCACCACAACGTCATTTATCAATAGCTGCTACCCCGCCATTGGCGCATCGGCGGCCGGGCCTGGGCCAGATTGTGCCCGATTTTGGGTTGGACCTTTACCCCGCTGTACCACCTTGAAAATGCATAAATAATGTGAGGGAGGTAGCTCCTCCTCTTGCTGTTTTCTTGAACTACCAAGCAAGATCTTATTTATCACCCTAGAAAATCCAAAGCTTCGAACGAATTCCTTAGTCAAGATGCCTCTCACTGGTCACTGTCTCTGCAAGGCCGTCACTTACAAAGCTGACGTAGACGCACCCCTCCTCACTGGCTACGACCACTGCGACGACTGCCAGCGTCAGGTTTGTCTCCTCCAGCTACGACTCCATTCCCAAACTGCTTCTAACCACTGTCTCTAGAGCGGATCTACTTATTGTAAGACAAATTCTCTCGAGTGTGGCCTTTTCCAGTTCAATTGGCATGCCCTCATTCGTCCGAGCACAGGCTAACAATACCAGCTCTCGTCGCTGTCGTTCCAAAGGACAAACTCACAATCAATGGTCCTATAAAGAAGTGGGAGGGCAAGGGATCTTCGGGCAAATCTGTCTGGCGCCTCTTTTGCTCCGAGTGTGGCTCGCCCATCGCTCACGACCCTGACGCTGCTCCCGAGATTATCGCCCTCAAGGCTGGCACTTTGGACACGGAGATCAAGAAAAACCTCAAGCCTGTAATACTCACACGCAGCAAAACATTCCACTTGCTTTCGCTAACATTTCCGCGCTTAGGATACCGAAATTTGGACCGTTGGCAAACTCCCCTTCTGCCAGGAACATCTTGCAAAACCCTTCACCCATATGCCCGAGTAAAGGCAATCCTACCTGGCCGGTGCCAAGTCGATTGCCCTGGAACATGTTGGATATGTCACCTAAATGAAAAAGACCATATAATGTTTTGCACTTGGAGCGTGCCTGGGGATTTTGGGTTAGTGGCGTATGGTGAGGTTGCTTGAATGAGATGGGATGCTTAGAGTATCAACGGATGTGATTGCCTGAGAATAGGAGTAAGACGGTTGCAAGGGCAAGGAGTAGTAAAGCCAGAATTCGATTAATGATATTTATGCACTACTTAGGTCCTGAGTGAGTAAAGCCGAATTCGATTAACGATATTTAATGCACTACTGAGGCCGCGAGTGAATAAAGCCTGGACTGCGTCACCTGTTCACATGCTTTGCTATTTACATGGCCCAAGCCGCGAGCAATCCCAATACAACCAGACCAACACTTGCAACACGCGTGTTGGCGTTGCTCTTCGCATTGTATTGATTACGAAGAGCGTCGCGGGTGGGGACCTTTGGAGCGGGTTTCTCTTTGGCGATGAATCCGCCCAATTGATGCTCTGGGTTGACGATGATTGCTTCGTCTGGGGAATGACCAAGACTTGCGCCGATTGAATTCTCAGAAGCAAGATCGAAATCTTCGGACATGATTTTCGTTTGCGGAGGCAAGCAGCCATGTGAGTGAGAGACACCATCTGCACAGATCACTGCCGAGAGCTGGACCTCATCGGACTCTATTTCATTGAGGTCTTCATCGGTGTCTTCTTCATCGATACCCTCTTCCTTGTCGTCCTCATCATTGACATCGTCTTCCTCAGACTCTTCTTTGTTGATGTCTTTCTCATCATATGCTTTTTTGTTGGAATCCACCTCAATAGACATTTCATTGTCGAATTCTACTTTGAGGTGGAAATCCTCATCATCGGACTCATCATCCTCGTCGTCAAAAAAGTCCTCTTCATCAGAATCATCATCGTCGGATTCTTCATCGTCTGAAAAAAAGTCGTCATCAGAATCATCATTGTCGGATTCCTCCTCATCTGACTCCTTATTGTCAGACTCTTCTTCGTCAAATTCTAATTCATCGGGTTCTTCGAGTGTATCCGATTTGACGGACACATCCAGATCGGAATCATCTCCATCGGGAGGGTCCGCGGCCGATGTGCTTCGGTCGCAAAGACTTTGAACAAGAGAAAGAGTGACGTCGTCAATGAGATAAGGGGAAGAAGCCAAGTCACGTTTGCCATTGGAATGATAGGTGACTCGATCCCAGCATCTATGGCATGTGATCCAGCTGCTGATGATATCTCTTTCACACAGGCAATCTCTGTTGACACGGAGATGAGACTCGGAATCTTTTTCTTGGCAAGCTTCGACAATAGTCCACATGTTCTGACAAGACGGGTCGACACCGTATTGGCCCTGTGAGTGGAGGGGAGCCCCTGGAACGTGGAGGCCGGGAACAATGAGGGCTGGGTTGATGCCAGAGGCGGGCCCATTGGCAGAGAGAGAGGGAACACTCATGATGAATGGTTTGATGGAGTAGAAGCTCAAAAGTTAAGATGTATGTGTAATGATTCCAAAAAAGTATGGTGACACTTGGGCCAAGAATGGATGCGGAAGAGCTCTATGTTATGATGATGAGAAGAGAAGAGAAGAAGAGGAAGAGGCCGAGAAACGAGCGGGGGATATATGTTCTCAAGTCACGTAGGCGTGCCTTCCAGTTTTGCGTTTCTTGCCTTGATCCATTTGGGAGATTCGAGACTGGAAACCGCGGCTGCAGCAGCTCTGGCAACCGATGACGTGCAAATGCAAGTGGCGCGACTAGATGAGGTTTCGCGAAGAAGGAGCGACCAGCTGCCGCCTCACAAAAGAAGAGAGAGGACAGAAAGTCCCATCAAGCAGAGAAGCGACCTCCTGGAAGTTCGGCTATGGGAGAGAGCTCCGCTTTCTGGAAGCTCCTTCTGTACACTGCCCGTCTGGCTCGCCTCCACGGTGAAGCAGCTCGCAGTTCCGCATTGGTATCCGCTGGGACAGCACCCAGCGACAGAGCCACCTTCCTCCCCGCAGAGAAACCACCCGCCAGCACACGTACCTGTCGCAGCGGCTGGCACATTGCTGGCAGCAACCACTACCGTAACACCATTTGACACTAGTGTGGTGGAAGAAGGAGCAGGACATGAGTGGGTTTCGCATTCCCGGTCAGTTTGGCAGCAGCCGCCGCCATGAGTGGCCAAGCAGCCGTAGAAACCAGTCGGGCAACCGGTCTGTGTGTCAGGAGCAGAGGTGGTAGTGTCAGTCACTGTTGGCCGCCAAGGAGCCTCTCCAGTCGCTGTGGCCGAGCTAGAAACTGTTCGGGTAGCAGAGGTAGTCGTTGACTGGACTGTAGAATGGCTTGTCGTGGTCTGTGTGCTAGTGACAGTCGTCACGGGGGGCTGGGATGAAGTGGTTTGAACCTGCGTTGTTGTTGGCACTGTCGAAATTACCTCTGTCACGCCTGTCGTTGGTTGTCAGCCCTTGATAGTCCATTGCTACTCCGTTCCTTCGTTCCCGAGATACTTACATCCTATGCCCTGACAAATGTATCCCTGGAGACAGCAGCCGCCACCAAGGGACGATGGACAGCTCACGGCGCTCGTGGGGCAGCTTCCTACTCCCCCTCCACATTGTACGCCGTCAGGACAGCATGCGACACTGGCCACATTGGAATCTGCGACTGACGTGCAGTACGTGCCCTTCTGACAGCACTTATTAGCAGCTCCGATATCCTCGCAGCTGTTCATATCAGATGGACACGAGGACCGCTTCTCTAAAATGGCCAGCATTTCCGCTGCCCTTCGCATCATGCTCTCCCGCGTTTCATCAATGTGAGGCGCAAAGGCTCGCTGGAAGAACCTGGATGAGCTGTTCGTTCTCTCTGACTCGCCATTTCCACCGTCTACGCCGGGAAGGAGCGGAGTGCCATAAATGTCAATGGGGAAGCTCCCAGGCGGCGCAAATGCGAGATGTTCTGGGAAGATCTTCTCATTAGAGTCAGGCAACAGCTTCTTGAGCGCGGTAGGCTGCGGGTTGGCTGCAACCTGGGTGAGCAGGGTAAGCAGCGACGGAGGCAGCAGCAAAATGCCTCTTACTGCCACCATTGTAATGCGTATCAACTAAAGATCGAAGGTTTTCTTCGTCGTTGTGGTTGGTGCTGATAAGCTGTTGATGGACGTTGCTGATGATTAATTGCTGCTGAATGGTGTAGTGGGCTTATTTCGACTTAGTAATTGAGGATTTCAATCGAAATAACAAGGTCAGACCCTTTTAAGATCCCAAATCAATCCGTCAAGTGAAAGAGTGATATATTTCTGATGCGATGATTGCTTCTCTGGAATACGGCATGAATTTGCCTGGCATTCATTTTGTTTGGTGGAGGCAGCCTCTTTTAAAACAAATCTTGGTGGCTGGGCAACCCGCCGGCCGTTCGGGATTGAACATGGCATCCTTGCAGATACAAGCCGCCAAATTAGAACGTTGTGTATCCCCCTATCTCTATGTTCGACACGAGGATAGATCTTGTACTATGAGAATTCTGCTCTCACCACAGTGACAAGGTTGGCACCTCTCTCTATTGTCTCAGGACCAAACGCTGTTTGGTGTGCTGCAGCGCTTGGAATGGCTAATTTGGAGCCATCGACGTCACTCTTCCCAAATAGGAAACATTTGGCGTACTGTCGATGCAACTGTTTTGTTTGGGTATATTTCATGAGATAAGTTGTCCAAATATTCTATCCTAAAGCGCTTCTATAATTACAATAGTCATGTACTATGTTACATCATGAATGTTCTCTGAACACCCTTTTCTATATATTGTACAGATTGCAGGCTCATCAAAACGTGGCTAAAATATTGAATCCTCCACTTTCTCTGGGGAAGGTTCAGTAGTGTCTGAAGGGGCTTTCTTCTTTGAAGGTTTAACCCTGGGTTTTGCTTGTCCCTTAACAAAGGAATGGCAAAGTAGGCCAGCAGCGACGCTGACATTTAAACTATCGATGCAACTGTCCTGAAGGAAACGAGGAACGGAAAGCTCGTAGTCTGCCGCGACCTTCAGGTCCTTTGAGAGCCCGTAGCCTTCATTGCCCAGAACCAGGATGCATGGCTTCTCATTGAGCGGCTGATCATGCTCAACATCACTCGACGAGATGAATTTGCCACCATGCTTTTGAGCCAGCTTCTTATCCGGAGCGGCTACTGCTGCATATGATACCCAGCCGGCTTTCCTTGATTCTTCGAGAAAGGATACCGGGGAGTCGACTGTGAAGATGGTCATTTCTTCTACAGCACCGGCAGCAGACTTTAAAACAACTGGGCTGAGCTTGGCAGAGTTGCGATTTGTGATGCCAACCGCATCGGCCCCGAAATAGCTCGCAGTTCGTAGCAGAGCACCGAGGTTTCCCGGGTCAAGGATTTCGTTCAAGAGTAATACATAGGGCTTGGCAGTGACGGAGCTTGACCGAGGAATGAACGACTCAGTGCCATTCACGGCCTCCTCCTCTTTACTCTGATGATCAAGCTTGACATGAAACCCTAGCCGAGAAGGATTTTCCTCGAGCGGACCGAGGGCAGTGATGGGAAGTTGAGGGATGGGTGAGGTCTCCAGTACAAAGCCGTTGTGGGGTCTGCCCTGGCTCATCTTGTCCATGAGGCGCTGGTCTTCGGTTGGGACAATTGTGATAGGCACGCCTTGCATTTTTGCCAACCTCGAGATTATTTCGTTATCCTTCGATTCTTGTCGATTTTCACCACCATAAATGTACAAGTTGTAAAGTTTCCGCCTTCCTTGATCCAGCGCCGCTTTGACGACTGACTTTCCGTATAGGAATTGGGATGCTGCAGTGGTGTATTTGATGGTCATGGGCATGAATTTTCCGAGTCTTTCACGCGGCGCGGGCATCGTCATCTTGAACGCGCTGTTGGTATCCTCTCGTCTCTGACGGCTGAATAAATTGAAACCATCTCTGCTAGATCTTGAATTCGGTGGTCCACGTCGAAAAGCCCTAGGCTGCTCCGTAGGCTTAGTATCTTCGACATTGCCGTGGAATCGTTTTGCAAAGTCGGCGCTTGATGGTCTGTCAAGCTTGGTGGCGGAAGGCATGTTCGCATCATCTCGTGGGTATCGTGGTTCACGTCTGAAGCCCCCTCTTATAGGACGAGGTCGCACCGGCTCATCAATCTTATTGACAAGATGCTGAAGTGAGCCATGTTTCATCTGATATACAAGGCTTTTCTTGCCAAATTCGGAGTCAGGGTCGTTGAACCGCTTGCGCCTCGTCTTCCGGCCTGTACCAGTCTCTTCTTCTTCCTTTTTCTTAAGCTTTCTTATTAGCCTCAATTGCTGTCGCTTTGAGCCGGCCCCTTCAAGAGCCTTTTCAGTGAGGCTCTGGGATCCTTTGTCATCACGGCGTCCTCGCGTGCTTGGTGCCCGGGGCCGCACTTCTCCATATTGAACCCTTTCTGATCGGCGAAGCCCACGATGAATCGCTGATAGGCTGGCGAAGCGGATTGAAGCAGGGACAGGGGTGTGGATGGGAGAGAATTTCGAAAAACGAAAGGGTAGACCCGAGGCCTTACTCTGCAGTGAGCGCATCATCGCATCATCTAAGACTCAACTCAAGTCATGACCCTCTGTCGAGAGCTGGCGCAAGATACCTCCGATAAATGACTTGGGCCAGCTTTTTTTTCTGCCGCCTTGGTGGAGGCTCGATATGGGCGGTGAGGTGAAACTTGCGCTACGGTTGGCTCTAGGGCTGCATTAAACGACGGGACAAGGGTGCTACCCACTTCACGGTTGTACTTCTTTACAGGGGCAGTTCTGCTGTAGCACGGGCATCGTCACTTCGAGGATTGTACAGATATCCAAAGTTGGAAACAAAACTATATAGATACTGTAAATTCTCATCGTAAGATACTATCAGTAGCTGACCACAAAATTGAAAATTCCCCTAACGTCGTCTCTTTAGCAAGGGGCTTGCGTGGGTCAACCTTGCTGACCCACTAGCCGCATCGCTGGTAATTAGTGCAGACGCGTTTAGAGACGGGTCGTGTACAGTGCACCTGCTTCGGTATACTTGACACCCATGTGAGTCTTTCTTCAGTCGCTCTTCACATCGCCATGGCCTTGCTTTCACATCTATCGCGCGCAATATAAACCAATTAGACTCTTTTAATCTTATGCCATGTTTTGTATATTTCTCTTTTCTTCACTTCCCCCTGCGATTACAGCGAAATACACCAAACCGAACTGCCAGACCCACGCACTAGCCGAAGCGATTTCGATCTGAACTCGACAAACACGAAGACGTTGCGCGATAGGGTGCTGTCTACAGCCCTGTCACGCCCTCAAGGAAGCTTCGACATGAGCGAGCCCATCCCTGGGAGCTCTCCGTCGCCTAGTTTGCGCCATCAGAGTGTTGAACTGGCCGATGCAACGAGCCCCGCCATGGATCGTGGACAAGGCGAACCAGCAACTGGCGCTTCAGTTCACGAGAGCTCTCCGTCCCCCGGTTTGCGCAATCATAGCGTCGAGCTGGCCGATACAGCGAGCCCTGCGATAGATCATGGACAAGACGAACCAATAGCCGACGCTCCAATCCGTGAAAGCTCTGTTTCGTCAACTTTGAACCAGACTGGATTGGATATAGTGGACGCAGCGAGTTTGGTTACAAATACGGACGACGAAGACTCTATGAATCTGGATACTGCAAGCCCAAAGCAACAAAACACACAAATACATGTTGAATTACGGCCGCTGCCCTCACATCTGCGCGCCCAGTATGTCAACACTGAAAGTGATATTGTGGAAAGGGTCATTCAGGAGGAGGTGCTGGAAAATGGGGAGGTGAGATATCATGTAGAGTTTACAGATGGTCGCGAGGAACAGGTATGTGCCGAATTCTCTGCTTTTGGTCTTTGGAGAAGAATCCAAATGTCATCTTTCCTCTTTACCTTTCTTCCCATCTCATGCACCTTGCCTTTTTTTCACCTTGTCATCACACTGCCCTGAGATCTCTTGAACACTTAAAGCTTTACACACCTTCTCCTCACTTTCTTCAATCAGAGATAATACTCCAACATCTACTTCCTCAGCTCAAACCTCACCCTTCTCCACTTCTGCACTTCCTGCTAACTCGATTTCCCAAGGTTGATCATAGCACACTGAATAGCTACGAAACTGGAGCCGCTGCGCTGATGGCATTCTATCAACCTGCTAATGCAGGTAAAAGAAAGCGATCAGATGACGATAATTGGATTTCTGATTCGGATAGCGTTGGATCAGACTTGCCAGACTTTGATCAAAATGAGGAACTCGACATTCAGTCAAGCCCAGATGTCATCTCTCGTCAACCCCGACTTCGGAGTTTGAGACCAAGCAGCAGCCGGCAGAGTTCTCATATTCAACACAGTCCATCTGACTTGGATGACGAGAAACCAAAGAAGGATTTACCTACACGCACCTTGAGAGCACGACCTCAAAAGATCATAGATTATCGAGACGAGCTTGCAGGTGATCCTGTCCCTCAGTCGGATGGCGATGATGATCCTCCTTTTATTACTTCAGATATTGTTCAAGCTAAGGCCAAGACGCGCCGCTCGCGCCTCCAACCACGCTCACAGAGGCTGTCTCGTCGCCCAAAACCATCTAACAAGCGACGAAGTCCTGACTCGGATATTGAGTTTGAGGCCCCTCGCCGATCTTCTCGGGCCACTAGGAATCAATTGTTCATGCAAGATGGGGTAAATGAAGATGATGCATTCGAACTTGTGGACGATAAAGGGCAAGGAGCGCCTAGAGTCATCTCAATCCGAGAGATATTTCAGCCTTCCGACTCTACTTTTGTCTCCGTTCACATGGAAACATGCCATACTTGTAATGGAACAAAGTCCAAAGGCCAGCTAGTTCACTGCCAGGGTTGCAGTTTGTCATACCACAAAAACTGTCTTGGTTTCCGAAGTGGCCGAGAGCACATGGTTACGAAAGTTGGAGAAGAGAACTTCGTTTTGCAATGCCGATTTTGTATCGGCGTCCACGGGAAGAAAGACCGAATCGCGCCTAAATATGGTGCTTGCCAAGACTGCCACGCAGATGGCAAAGCCTGTGCGGCTTTTTCATCTAAGAAAACTGCACGACAAGAGGAAAAGCTTCGCGATGAGAATGGCGGGGTTGATCCCATTACTCCTGTCTCAGAGACTCTGCTCAACAATGCGGAGCTTGTCCTGTTCAGATGCAAGAATTGTCATCGAGGGTGGCATCTTAAGCACTTGCCACCTCACGGTGACGGCCCAACGAAAATAGGAACTGACCTGCGGGCCGAGCAGCTCAAGGATTATTCAATTGACTGGCTCTGCAATGACTGTGGCCTGATGACGCAGAAAATCCACCGTCTAGTTGCTTGGAGACCAACTAAACAAAGTCAATCCTCAGCAAACTCCGATTTCCCCGTCTTGTTGCATTCGGAAGTGAGTGAGGATAAAAAAGAATACTTGGTCAAGTGGGAAAACCTCTCCTATGCCCACTGCTCATGGAAACCTGGAGCATGGGTTTTTGGTGTAGTTGCTCCGACATCTCGTGTGTCTTTCGCCAAGAGGGATGCAGAGCGGAGCTTAATGAGCATGACCGAAAAAGACGCCATTCCCGACGAGTATCTGATGCCCGAGATTATACTTGACATCAAAATGGCGAGCTCTGCCCCAAGACCGAATTCCAAGGAAGAGCAGCTGGCAAGCGTTTCTCATATCAGGAAGATATTCGTCAAATATCAAGGACTTAGTTATGATGACGTGGTTTGGGCTTCACCCCCAAGCAAGGATATGGAACAACATTTCCACGAAGCTTTTCTCTCTGCTTTTTGCGACTATGTCGAAGGCAAATATTTTAACCACGAGCCCTACTCTAAGATTCGGGACCGGGTCAATAAATATAAAGAGGCTGAGTTCACTGAAGTTGATGTACAACCCGCGGGTTTGACAAGAGGCAAACTCATGGGCTATCAGCTGGAAGGCCTAAACTGGCTTCTGGGAAATTATCACGGAAACCGAAGCGTTGTCTTGGCAGATGAAATGGGTCTCGGAAAGACTGTGCAGGTGGTCAGTTTGGTGGCCTCTCTAGTTCAGGATTCTCCCAAGGTATGATAATCTCACAGCTCAACACTTCTTCCGTACTAACATGCTATAGTGCTGGCCGTTTCTCATTGTTGTCCCCAATGCCACATGCCCGAACTGGCGACGGGAGTTCAAGCAGTGGACACCAGAATTACGTGTTGTCACCTATCATGGAGGCAAGGTACCTCAGGATTTGGCGTACAAGTATGAACTCTTCCCTGGCGGGTCAACAGAAATGAAGGCGCATGTTGTCATCATGTCATATGACTCTGCTGCTGATCCACAGACTCGAATTCTCTTCAAGACTGTCCATTGGGCTGGTCTGGTGGTAGATGAAGGTCAGCGGCTCAAGAATGACCAAAATCTACTCTACCTGGCCCTCATGGCAATGAAAATACCTTTCCGTGTTCTCCTAACAGGAACACCATTGCAAAACAACAAGCGAGAACTCTTTAACCTGATTCAATTCATTGACGAGACACAAGATGCAGCGGAACTTGACGAACAGTACCAGGTGCTTGACAAGGAAACGCTGCCCAAGTTACACGAGCAAATACGGCCATATTTTTTGAGACGAACGAAAGCTGGAGTCCTCAAATTCCTACCGCCCATGGCGCAAATCATTGTTCCTCTGACAATGACCGTTATCCAAGAGAAACTTTCCAAAAGCATTCTGGCCAAAAATCCTCAGCTGATCAAGGCTATGTTTGCCAACACCAAAATTAGCAAGAAGGAGCGTGGGAGTCTGAACAATATCCTGATGCAACTCCGGAAGTGCCTCTGTCACCCTTTCGTGTATTCGGACGCCATCGAAGAACGCCATCACGACCCGGAAATCATACACCAGAACTTGGTCCAAGCTTCCTCAAAGCTCATACTTCTCGAGCTCATGTTGCCAAAACTCAAGGAACGCGGTCATAGAGTCCTCATCTTTAGCCAGTTCCTCGACCAGCTCAACATTGTCGAGGATTTTCTCACCGGTATGAGCTACGGATTCCGCAGGCTAGACGGCACCATCAGTAGCTTGGAGAAGCAAAGGCGAATCGATGCATTCAACGCACCTGATTCAGAACTCTTTGCATTTCTTTTATCGACCCGAGCTGGAGGCGTAGGCATCAACCTCGCGACTGCTGATACCGTTATCATCATGGACCCCGATTTCAATCCGCATCAAGATCTCCAAGCATTATCACGCGCTCACCGAATAGGACAGAAAAGGAAAGTCCTATGTTTCCAGCTGGTGACAAAAGATTCAGCTGAAGAGCGGATCATGCAAATTGGACGGAAGAAAATGGCTTTGGACCACGCTCTTATCGAAACCATGGATGATCAGGATATAGATGGAGACGACCTGGAATCCATTATCAAGCATGGAGCCCAGGCCCTGTTCAGCGATGATTATCAGAAAACTGCAATTCGGTACGACTCAGCGTCGGTCGATAAGCTTTTGGATCGTTCAGAGATGGATCAAGAGATGCCCGATCAAAAGGAAGAGGGCTCGACAGAGCAATTCAACTTCGCCAAAGTATGGTCGAATGATGCATCCGGATTTCAAGATAGCCTGGGCTTGGAGGAGAGCGAGGCTCCCGAACCCATCAACTCGAGTGTCTGGGATCAGATATTGGCACAACGAGAAGAAGAGGCCAGGAAACAGGCAGAGGCCAACCGGGAAGTTCTGGGCCGTGGTGGAAGAAGACGAATGGTAAGCTATCTAGTTGCCATGGTGCGAAATGAGACGTGCCAGTGGCTAGTTTTCTGACATGACTATAGGCGAAGCCGATCAATTACAAACCTGTCACTATCGCACAAGCAACAGGGGCCGAATCCCAAGGGTCCTCAGATGAGTTCTCTGGCAGTGACACGCCCGACGAATCTGAGGATGACGAGGCGGCTCTCTCCAAAGGTAAACGACGAAAACCAACCCCAACACAACTCATCACCCCAGCATCCACCCCGACAAAAAAGGGGCCACCAAAGAGTAGTAGTAACAACACGCAACAGCAGAAGTCGGCACAGAAATCTCTCAACTCCAACCCAAAGAAGCCCGTCCACAAAACGGCCAACGGCGGAGGAAACGAGACGCGTACACCACAGAACAAGCACAAAAAACAGAAAACGCACGGTGGCCATACCTCCCACCTACTTACACCCCCACGACAGTCTCCCAAAGCACCACTGAAGTCCCGAATGGCTTCACACCCCAAGGCCAAGGCCAAATCCCACAAAACATCCCCGTCCTCCGTTCAAACGGGAGAGTAGCGGTTGAGCATCAAGGGGGTCGTCACCACCAGAACGCATCCAATACTAACATGCCACCACTTACACCTAGCAATGTACCACTAACGCTACCTCATCCTTCAGAGGCAGATTTACGAGTTGAACTAGATCGCTTGAATCGTTCTATGGTGGACCTGAGCACAAGAGAGAAAATGAAGATGGAATTGCTGCAGCACATAATGAGGACCGGGGCGGCAAGGGGGGCCCGGATGATGACCTAGAGTAATGACGAACGTGTTTGGGATGCATTAATTGCACGGAAGCAGACTCGCAGATGACTTGCGTTGCCCAGCAGTTCCGTGCTCCCCTACCCCTGCTCTTAACGCTTCTACGCGGACGGGAATGGCTAGCTTATGGCTTAACGAAGAAACACAGAGAGGATATTTATTCACACCGCCGGGAAGCGGAATGGCTCAATATGCAGCTAGGGAAGTTGTACGAAGGTGGAGGGGTGCCTGATCTCGAATACAGCTGGCTTAGAATCGATCTGATTGATCCATATCTTTTGGTCCTGTGGCAAGACCCGTTGTTTGCTGCAGACACCCGTCTGCCTCCACTTTAACGTTTGAATCGCACGCTCACATCTAGACAGACCGAAACGCTCATACCGCTGCCGCCTATACCTGTGATTTAAAAAAAAGTGCGATGTCTTGTTTCTGTGCCATTGCGCAGACACCCTAGTGAATGTGGCTGGCAGCACTACATGTGCTTCGCTGGCAAAGTGACAATCCCATCCAAATTGCGCGCGCAGCCAAGCCTTGCATACCTATATTATGGTCCCCCTTTCTACTTCGTAGTATGTGAATTTGCCCACACGGCAACCATAGTACTCGTCTTGACTCGACCTTGAAAGCATCTACCCTTGACTCTTCTAGTTATCATGCCTTGCCAACAATCTATGCCCAGCTCTACAACCTCGTTACATTATGACTACTATGGCCGCGCAGGCTCGCACAGCTTAGGCAACACCCGTTATAGTATGCTAAGTCACCAGGTCTCTCAAGCCGGTTGGCCATCTCGGCCTTCTCAAGGCCCTTGTGGCTGGTCCAACCCCCAGCCGTTGTCGTTTGACCCGAAGAACTGGTCGACCAGTTACATTCCATCACCACCTTCATCGATCAAGACGGGTTCCACCGGTTCATGGGTGGAGCAAGCGTCCTCGAAGTCTTCTTACTACCTAGACAGGGGGAATGGAAAAGTTACACGGCTGGTGCCAGCTGACCAGCTGCCACCGATGAATGAGATTCCTCGGATGGAGAACAAGGCTCAGGGTATGGACGTCCTGCCGCCCTTGCCAGGTAACCCGCGTGTAGTGATGGGAGACTCGCATCAAGCAATCACCTTCAAGGTAGGTCATCTTCCGTCGTACCGATTAAGGTGTAGAAACACGAATGGCTTCTGACTGACAAGTTACTGCAGGAGAATACAAACCTCGCGCTTCAACAGGTACGAAGACAGACTCTAAGCCCCAAGGAACGGATCGTTACGACCTTAGAAAGCTATATATAAAGGATGTCTTAACTGACGGTACTAGGTCCAGAAGCACCCGAAGCCGAGCAAGCAGGACAAGGAGTACTGCGACAAATGGGTTCACGAAGGTGTCTGTGCCTTCACCCAGCAGGGCTGTCGCTACAAACACGAGATGCCGTACGACAAGGCGACTCAGCAGTCCCTCGGTCTCTTCCACGGACTGCCGATCTGGTGGAAGAGGAAGCAGGCCGAGCTGCATCGCCAGCAGGAGTTCAAGAACTCCGCGAAGCGCCGCACCCTGTCCAACCCGTACCAGGCAGCAGGGGCAACGGCTCTTCTGGGGGCGCCTCTTCCCGCAGATGGAACGAAGGCTTGCTCTGTACCTACCGCCAGTACTCCTTGGAACAGTGGCTCGTGGGAGGAGGGTGCGAGCGTGAAGGATTTGACGAAGCATTGTGAGTGGAATTGTGTGTTTTAAATGACCTCGAGGACTCGAAGCTGACAGTGAGATAGCGGATTATGCTCTTTCGACTGGCTCATATCGATCCCCTTATGGTGCCATCCAACCACCTTCTGGATGCCGCAAGTAGCAGATCGGTCGGCCACTCTCAAGAGCCAAGCTCGCCATGTGAGCTTTTCTGGTTGAGACGTTGAGTATAAGGCTAGTTGTCGAGAAGAAGAATACGAAGTGAATGAAGTGATGATGTCCAAGAGGATAGAGATAGAGGGGTAGCGTTGTGAGAGATTACTATCCATATAAAAGGCGGCATATTTCTGTATGAATGCCATATCTACGAAGCACATGACTGGGAAGAGGATATACTTGACAGAACTCCCAGATATTGGAGAGGGGATTGTACTTTGGGAGAGATGTGAAAACATGCTTTGAGAGAATGGCTAAATGAAAAGCTGCTGGCAGCCAAGGGAAATAAGTTTAAGCAAAAATTCATATGGTGTTTTGAGAAGAATATAACAATATTTGACGAGTGAAGCAATCTAAGGGTAGGGAGGATGCCTAGAGTGGGTGACATAAAACATGGAACACCACACCGAATACTTCGCCCACCTGATCTCGAGAAGGGATACCACAAGCACAACAATCTTTGACTGACAAAAATAACCATAGAAAGAAGAAAACGAAAAATAGTTATTTTATTTTTATTCATTTATCTTTCTCTTCCAGTTCCTTTTCTAGAATAGCTTGGCAAAGAATAACAGCCGTTGCAATATCTTTCAGGTAGGTTGTCCTGGTGAACTGCTTTTTATGTCACCCACTGTGCTACATAGAGTATAGCGCGGGTAAATGCCGGCCAATCACACTACACCAGGCAGCCTTCCCAACGTCAGGCAGGCGCTGGGGATGACTGGAGAGGCGTCAAGCTCCGAGAGCTTCGTCTTTATTCTGTCCTACACTCTCACTCGCTTGACTCCAGAACCTACCAATCCCGCCATCGATCGGTCGTGGTGGAATGAGCAGGGCCGTGGTTTTCTCAGCCTGTGGTTCTCTTCGCTTTTCTCTCGTCGAATTGTCTGTGTAACTGCCTACTGGTCACGCAGGTCACTACACGCCTAATCACGCCCACAATTGCCCCTCCATAGCCCGACTCTCGTCGCCGGAGCAGGCAGCGACGGCCACAACAAAGCTCCTTTCTAGATCACTCAGGCAGGCGGACGTCTCGAATACAGAATGGAGCAGCTATCCTCCGTATTGACGAGCTATCCGCCAGCTTCGGCCTCGTCCACCTCCCACAAGCAGCAGGATGAACATACCAGGGTCTATCTCTCCGCTCTCGCCAAGCTATCTGCTTCTAACAAAAGGCTTATCTTGGAGCAACCGGAGGCATTTCTCAAGGTGAGAGGGACATTTCACGGCAGGCTCTTTCCAACCAACTAACCGAAATTTGGTACAGCTCCTTGATCCTGCCAAGAACTCGATCGGCTATCTCTTCGTCCTCAATACTATAATACTGAATCTCTCCGAACCTCGAATAGGACGACCCTCGCTGCTGGATGCAATTGTCGTCTTCCTTCTCACTTTCGACCCCATCCAGGTTCGATACGCAGGGAATTATTTACTTCCGCTGCTCGAAGCGGTTGGAACCGGAAAGTTCTTTCCCGTACGATATATTCTACAATGCTCTATTGAGACCCTTACTGACTTGGAACCTAGCCTCGAGTTGCCGTCGAAGTTCTTGCCACGGCCATGCTTCGTTTAGACCCCAACGCTTCAATGTTTACATCGACACATCTGCTCCTGGCAACCTACGCGTACGAGACGGACTGCGTGGAACCGGCCCTCAAAGTTCTCGACCGAGATATTACGAGCTACCCGATCGCAGCACAGAAGGAGCAGCGGTTCTTATGTGACCCTGAACTTCCGCTCACGAGTTATCTCTCGCTCCAGACTGGGCTGACAGCCCCAGTTAAGGCGGTAACTGTGTTGGAGTACGACTTTATCCGCGGTTTGATCTACATGTCGAGGCGCGAATGGACAAAGGCCCGAAAAGCCCTGGAGCGAGTCATTGCCTATCCGACGAAAGACAAAGGTGTCAGCAAAATCATGATCGACGCGCACAAGAAGTGGTTGCTGGTTGGTCTCCTCAGTGATGGTGAGGCCCCGTCATTCCCTGGATATACATCATCTTCGGCGAAATCGGCATACAATGTCCTGTCCTCGGGCTATCGTGAAGTGGCGTCCACATTTAGCACACCGAAGGCAATCGACTTCGTGAACGAAGTCATATCAAACCGCCCCCTTTGGTTGGAGGATGGAAACGTGAGCCTTATCCAAGAAGTCCAGGTTGCATACCAGAAGTGGCAGATTCTCAACCTTCGGCGGATTTACCGAGAGGTCTCCATATACAAAATTCAAGAATCAACGTCAAGTGGCGAGACGGGAGAGCCCTTGGCCAATCCGCAAGAAGTTATTAGCCTTGTGCAAAGCATGATTGACAGCAAAGCGCTCAAGGGCGAGATTACAGTTGGCCAGGATAGCGAAAGCTTCCTAACGTTCCAAGGCGAGCAGGAATGGTCGTCGGAGAAGGATTTCGCCAGGGAGATCGCACAAGCTCACCACAATATCAACCTTCTGAGTCAGGAGTACAAGGCGTCTAATGAACGTTTGAGCGGCCATAGGGACTACGTTCGGTTCATGATTCGCGAACAGAAACGGGCTGACAAGGATGATTCCGAAGCGGGTGGTTTTGATGCTCAGATCGAGGATGAAGACCTCATGAATGACATTGTCCATCATGGTTAGCATCAAGATGGGCTTCTCAAGAATAAATAGACCCGGTTTTACATTTGGGGGCGGCGCTGCTCTACGATGAGGCAACCCGTCTCCAGCACTAGGGAGCGATACATGGTTTTGGGGAAACTCGATACATAGTCACTTTTACGATGGCCGTAAAAAGCTCAAGGCTACCTAGACAAGATGACGAGCGAATTGTTAATGATGAATATGATTGGTCATGAAGTTGGCATACGTGCCAGACCCGAACGAAAGTGACCTCGAATTTGATTGACTCGGCCGAATCCTCTGCTAGTCTCTTCTTGTCTCGACCTGGCTCCGAGGAAATATGAGACACAGGAACTTGTGTGACACCCCCCTTGTCTGTCTCAATTTTCTTTCTTTTTACTACGTTCTTTTTTTGGTAGGTTGCTTATCGCTACGTACAATACATTCCTCCGCTCGATGTTTGGTAAAATGTCTTGGGAGACGAAACAGGTGCGTGGGTGGGGGGATTTGTATTACGGAAGAGAATAAGCACATCGTGGCTGAAAGCTGATCAAGGACCGCCATTTCGAAAAAGCAAGTTTAGCGGACTGGTCATGTCGTCTACGATTGGGCGCTGGCTGCAATATTTGATCCTGGTCGTTATGTAGGTGTTACCCTAGGTAAGTAGAGAGCGAGACGAAACTGGCACCTCGCTGTTCAGGTGCATCAATGGTAATGTCATACGGGCTCCATTCCGTCGCAGGCCCGAGACTAGACGCTGGGTCTCGGCCTATCTTTCTGTGTACGACCATTCAAATCGCGGGATCCGCAGGAAAAATGCACCTCCTGCATATCAGCCCAGCAAGGGAGCGCGGTGCCAGGAAACGCACGTATGGTACAGCAGCAGTAGGTGTGGCTTAGAGCCCGCTGCCCACCCCAAGCTGCATGTCGATATGATGGCATGGGTATGGCCCGCCTTTGAGCTGCAAAAGCATCCATGATCACTGCGTCCTTCGGTACCCTACGGATGGAAAATTTGCTTTTCGGGTGGGCAAAACCAAAACCAAAACCGGTGAGTGTACGGAAACGCAGACAGCGCACGTACGTAGCACTGTCGTGTCAGTTTGCGTGCAGCTGGTTGTCTGGTGATGTGCTCGCTGCTGCCTTGTGACGCTGCGGGGTTAAAATAAGGGCCACTAACAGGCGCGACACAGCGGTGCAATTGGGCAGCACGGCGGCTTGCTGGACCCAATTAGAAGCAGCACCCGGCCCCTGGCAGCAGGCGAACCATTTGCGAACCGTCGCAGCGGCTGTCTCAACGGGCCTGCAGGGTCTTCGGAGCGTTGCTGCTGGTGCTTTTCCTACCATCAGCCGTTGGTACTGGGCCCGCCTCACTGTCGGGGGCGGCGCAGCGAGGCGTCCAGCATCGCCTCAATTCCACTATCGATGCTGTGCTGCCTGACCGGCGCAAGACTTCAAACTGGCTGACCTACGCAGCCCGTCTCTGCTCGTTGCTCATTCCAATTCATTACGAGCTGGGATTCCCCAAGTGCGACCCGGCCACTTCTCTTTGCCACTGTCTGGATTCTGCCTTTTCATTTCCACATCGTCGGCCTCACTGCCACTTGTAGCTGGCCGCCTTCTTACACATCCAAGAGAAGAGTGAGTTCGTTGGCTGTGGCGCGTGCGGGTTCGTACTACGGCGCAGCTTGTATCATCGCCTGGCTTCTTGTCCGACCACGCCCAAGGCATCGTTTCCCTCAAACCGTTCCCGCTGTGATTCCTGCCCAGCCGCCCGGAGCCGAAGCCGTAGCCATTCTTTGGCTCAGAGCAGCTCCTCGCCCTGGCGCTTATCTCGAGTCGTCCGCAGTTCCTGTTGGCAACCGCTCGCTCGCCGACCCTTTCCAGGCCGCGCAGAGAGCCCCAGGACATTTGCGCTTCCTCCCAATCGAAGCCGGCACAGCAAAACCCATTTAGAAAACCACCTGCCTAGCAAGTGGGAAGGTCCTCGGTCAATAGGCGACTGCCACTGGCCCCTACTTCGACCACCGTAGCAGATCCAGCCTGGCCTGCATCTCGGCCATCCTCTTCGATGTACTCCTTCATGCACAATGCCGCGCCTGGCATGGAATCCCATGGCGGGCAGTTTGGCTCCCAGGACAATCACTTTGAGGACGCCCTCCCCATCCCAACCATGGACAGGAGAGATGGGTCCGAGTCCATGCAGAATTGGCTTGCCAAGGATGCGCCGTGGGCTCCCTCAACCGTCTTCAGCAATGGCACAGTCCCATACCTGAGAAACGCGCCTGCATTCCACGGTTACAGAAACAACTTCATCCCCTCGGACTGTGGCGAGACGCAGCCTGATGATTC